AATTTGTTACTGTTATCCTTTCCCTTTTATGACTCAACAATTATTTTATTTCTTTTTCTACTATTTTATTTTTTAAATTTTTATATTGTAAAATTAAGATTTTTTATATTTTAAAAAAGAAAATTAACATAAGACATTGTAGTATCTTATAATTCAATACTAAAAATATTTCTTCATGAGTGAATAATTGAAAGTAATTAAAAATTAAAAAAATTGTTTTGTACCTGTAACAAATTTCAGATATATTTTTTTTTTCTAGTTGATGTTTGTAAATTTCTACTTCAGTATCAATATAAAATGAAGGAACATATTTAGTTATAAGAGAGTAGGACAACTGTTTTACTATTTTTTTAATCATTTATAAATTTATAAATAAAATATTTTGAATCACAAATTATAAAAAATTTGAAATATTGTTTAAAATAATTTTTAGCAATGCCATTGATAATTAATAATAAAAAAATGGGTATTACATCCTCAAAGAACCAAAATGGGTCGTCAAAGAAGGTTGGGAATATATGTTGGGTATGAATCCCCATCTATAATAAAATATCTTGAACCATTAACAGGCGATTTATTTACGTCTAGATATAATATTTTGAATCACAAATTATAAAAAATTTGAAATATTGTTTAAAATAATTTTTAGCATGTGCAGTACTACATAACTTTCTTCGTAAAGAATGTCATTCCGATGAATTTTCAATTGGAGTGATGGACGAACCTTCATATCTTGCAAAAAAATATTTGCAGAAATTTTTTGCGAATTTTCCTGCAAAAAAATATTCGTAGAAATTTTTTGCGAATTTATTTGCGAAAAATAATTTACATATATTTCTTACAAATTTTGCTACAATTTTAATGATCAAAGAAATTTTTTTCCATGGTAAAAGTTTGCAGTAAATATTGTAAGAATTTTATTTTATGTCTTGCAAAAATAAATTTGCAAGTAATGTTTACTAAATGATAGAAAAATTTTGCAAGTAACTTTTCTTGCGAATTTTCCTGCAAATTTTAATCAGTAGGAAAAATTAAAAAAAAAATTTATAAGTTTAATATTTTAAAAAAACTTCAAGTCTCACATCGATTGAAAATAAAACAATTAAAGAGTATATAAGTTGAGGCAACACTTATCTTACAAGTTGATTTGTATGGTTGAGTGTTAGGCTTATAATCTACAATCTTAGAATTTAAAAGATTATGTATCACATGTTGGAGGCATGAAAAAAATGCTTCGGATGAATTCATTGTGAGCATTTGAAATTTTAAGAATTATTGATAGAATTTATAGTAATTTCTTTAATTTTTTTTCATAAAAATATTTCTGTAGAATTTCTTGCAAAAAAATTCGCAGGAAACTTTCCTGCGAATTTTCCTGCAAATTTTTTTTTGTAGGAAACTTTCTTGTAAATTTTTTTTTTTGCAGGAAACTCTCTTACGAATTTTTTTTTGCAAGAAAATTCGCAAGAAAATTTCCTGCAAATTTTAAAATTCGCAAAAATATATTATCCACGAAGGTATTACCTACAAATAAAATTTCGCAGAAAAATTTGTAGGAACAACGATTCCTGCGAGTTTTTCATAAAAATTTGTAAGAAAAGTCATATATATATATATATATGACTATTTATTTTAAAAGTAAATTTTTGTAAAATTATTTCATTTAATAACTTATAAAAATGTTTTATGCGTTAATTTAAATTTATATAATAAAATATCATATAGTTTTAAATTTTTTTAAAAATTTCATACTTGATCTATACATTAAATTTTTTTAATTCAACGATTTAATTATTAAAATTTGATGTAGAATGAATTATTAAGTAAAGTAAGTCTATTAAGACTTATTCTTAGGAGACTTTTGGTAGGAGAGAAGTTTTTTCATACTTAAAAATTATGATTCCTGTAAATTACAAATCTAGGAATGATTCTTGATAATAGTTAAAATTTGTTTGGCTGCTTATAAAAGTTCTTGAGAATATTCATACAAAATTCTCGAAAATTAAAGATTTTCATGTTTTGTTACAATAGTATATGCTTATGGGTATATGAATATTTTTTGCAAAAATATTCTTTATTGGAATAAACTCATTAAATATACTTATTTACTCATATCTTATTACAATTATGACATTAAATTATTTTAAAAAGTGAAAAATTTAGGGGTGTATAGATTAGGAATTTAAAGGTCTTTGGATTTTAAAAGACTTTGTAGGATTTTCATGACTTTTAAGTTAAGATTTTAATGTATTTTACGGGACTTTGTGAACTTTGCAGAATTTTGTAGATTTTTGACATATGATAAGAGTTCAATATTTTTTTTCATACATTCAAATTTAAAAAGAGTCAAAGACAAAAATAATAATAAAAAAATAATGTCTGAATAAATAATAATAATAATTTTTTTGTACTATCATGTCCTTCTAAATAACATTCACTCACATATCCATAACTATACCAGTCCTCTAAGTATTGTATTAGCATATTTTCGCTCTTGCTCTTAGGTTTTAATAATAGGCTCAAAATTATAATTGTCATTAATCGGTAATGTTGAAGACACTACTAGAATTTCTTTTATTACATGCGACTTTTCTTACAAATTTTTATGAAAAACTCGCAGGAATCGTTGTTCCTACAAATTTTTCTGCGAAATTTTATTTGTAGGTAATACCTTCGTGGATAATATATTTTTGCGAATTTTAAAATTTGCAGGAAATTTTCTTGCGAATTTTCTTGCAAAAAAAAATTCGTAAGAGAGTTTCCTGCAAAAAAAAAAATTTACAAGAAAGTTTCCTACAAAAAAAAATTTGCAGGAAAATTCGCAGGAAAGTTTCCTGCGAATTTTTTTGCAAGAAATTCTACAGAAATATTTTTATGAAAAAAAATTAAAGAAATTACTATAAATTCTATCAATAATTCTTAAAATTTCAAATGCTCACAATGAATTCATCCGAAGCATTTTTTTCATGCCTCCAACATGTGATACATAATCTTTTAAATTCTAAGATTGTAGATTATAAGCCTAACACTCAACCATACAAATCAACTTGTAAGATAAGTGTTGCCTCAACTTATATACTCTTTAATTGTTTTATTTTCAATCGATGTGAGACTTGAAGTTTAAAGATAATACACCAGTCAGATTCTTTTCTCTATCTCATACCGTATCATTTCTTCTCTCTATTTTTTCTTCCTTTTATAACAAGAATAAATTAATTTTACATAATCATCCAATTATAATTTAACATAAGTGATAAATTTATTAAATTTTATGGCAATTATCTTAAAAGTCATACAAATTATAATTTTAAATGCTACACTTGATTTTATAATATTTTTTAAATTAATACTAGAAAATGTAATAAGGATAAGTCATTTGCTAACCCTCATAATGCAATTTTATTAAACCGAATATCCCTGCACATCAACATGATGATTGAACCAATCAATTGAAACACCAATCAATCAGAGAAACACATGAATCCTGTGGCTAAAAAGGGCTATTAAAAACCCTACAATTTCTCCTAATCTCTCCATCATTCCCCACCAAAACCCTAATGTTCCCCATCTTCACAATAGCATCAACAAAACTCCTCCTAAAACCCGCATCATCCCCCGCAAGAGAGGACACCAACCCTCTAGACGAAGGGTCCAACGCCAATTGTTGATCAAGGAAAAGCACCCCTCTCTTCAAAACAATCTGCTTATAAAACTCATTGTCAAACACAAACGACGTGTTCTGGTCCAAGAACACCGTCGGGTTCCTCCCCGTGGGCCTGCATATCCGGCCCAACACGGCCCGCAAAGACGGGTCCATGTTGGGGTCACCGAGCCTGTCTCGGAAGAAACTGCAGTGGGCCACACCGACCGTGTGGGCGCCCAGGAGGGTCACCATTTGGTCCAACGACATGCCGTTTGCAGTGAACACTTGCAAGGCCTGCGAAACACTGGATCCCGGCCCGGGAAGGTTCACTTCGGAGGATCTGGAGACGAGCCCGTCGCGCCTCCCCGTAGCGACGTCGTATCTGGGCCCACCCGCCATGGAGACCGAATCCCGTGTGGCCAGGGTTATGATATCGGCGCATGAGACCGTCGAAGGACACAGTCTTTCTAAGATTCTCTTGGCTTCGTCAATTACCTCGAATCCTCTAACGGTGCCGTTTGCTCCCGCGTCTTTCTCCGATGAGTTCCCCTTCGTTGAGTCTATCAATATGGACGCATCACAACCCTGAATCCAAAATAAAACACCAATAATTAAATATTTTTAAATAAATAATAAATGTATAAATTTACTTTTAGTTTTTTAACCAAGGTCCTACAATATAATTTAGTCATCCCATTTTCATTAGTTTAATACATTTGATAAATCAAACTTAAAATATAAGTGGATAAAAGAAAAATAAATGTGATGGGTAGTTAGCTAGGGTCTTACTCTGACAAAGCAGTCATGGAAGTGCATACGAAGCAAGGCACCGGTAACGGTTCTGTCTTGGTTGAAATTCCTCTGAACAACTTGACGTACAATTTCCTCTGCTCTTGGGCAACTAGAGCTATAGAATCCAACTCTTAGGTCAGCAAATGCAATGGGAAACACAAAGAAGATGATAAGAATGGTGAACTTCATTTTGGGTATGTCGTATGTGGGATGGGTACATAATTAACTTTGCTTTTATCGGTGTGTCGTATAAATAAATAGAGTATGGGCACTGAAAAAGATCTCACAAGTCAAGGTTGAGGTGATAACATTAGCGTTTTAGTTCTTTACTTTAATATAAAGGACATTTGGATTTCCTAATGAACCTTGAGTATCTGTGTTCTCACTAAAAGATTAATGTTACGTGGTATGTCTTGTTTGTATGGAACAAGGTTGGCTGACGTGGCAAGATAAAAAACACTCGAATAAATTCAAAACGCCAACTAGCAAGCTTGTACGTAAATTATGGGATGTACATTACATTCACGCGGTTTCCAATATTGAACTTAGACATGTGTAATGATATGATAATTCTCTTTTATTAAAGCTAACAAAGTGGATAACCTAAATTACCACACCACAAATTAGATAAAAGGTAAATTGATTTGACTTAGTTTATTTTTTGTGAGTTTTAAAAAAATTAACTTTATTTGATGTATCACAAGTCAACGATTAAATTGGTTAAATTAAAAAAAAACTAAAAAAATAAATTTTATAAAATTATAATAAGATAAAAAAAAATATAAAAAATAGACATCAATTGCAATTAACTTTTTTTTTTAGGGAAAAATATATTAGATAGGTCACCATGGATCAATTTGTGGTAGATTAGATAGTAAATGAGTTAAATCAAATTTTTTTAATAATTAAAATGATTCAAATTTTTCTAATTCAACTTGACCGGATTAGATTATAAATTATGACTTGCTCTACTCTTGATTTGACCTTTAATAAGAAATGCAAAATTAGTCATATAATGTATGTCGAATATTTTTCTTTGAAATTGGATTTTAATTTTAAACTTTTTCCAACTTAATCTAAGAGAAAAGTTATTTTGTTCAAGAATCATTTAAGCGGAGAAGTTGCCTAATTAGAGTTTGTTTGATATGTAAAAAATAGAAGAAAAATAAAGATGATAGAATGAAAATTGTAGAGATAGAAAAAGACTTGTTTGTTTGTGTGAAAATAAAAGATGAAAGAAATAAAAAGTAGGGTCCAACACATTTTTATTTTTCCGTAAATCAGCATGAAAATTCTACCGACACACTTCCTATATCGATGATCAGTTATATAATATTCTTTTTAGACAGAAAAACCTTTGTTTCATTTCATTGATTAAATCCTTTATTTAAACCAATTAAATAAATAAATAATTGATTATTTGACTTAATTTTTTTTCTTGTATATTTCTCTTTCATATTTCATTTCAATAAAAAACATCTCTATAATTTTCACACTATTTTTATTTATTCTATATATTTATTTTCTTCTTACCAAAACATACCGTTAATATAAAGTTAATTAAGATAAATCACTAATTTTAATAAAAGCTTATAGTATATATAATACTCGCAATTCGCAAACGAGACAACTGAATGCTATATCGAGTCATATGTGCCTTTTTATTTTAAAGAAAATCATATTATTAATATAAAGTATTTATTAATTTTATCAAATAATTAATTTCTGTCGAAAATCAATTTCATCATTTTTAATGAAATCTTTTCTCTTAATTAATCATGTTTTTTCTATCCACAAATTTCAAATTCCAAATCTTGTTTAAAAAATTGAGTTTAATTTCATTTAAACCAACAATAATGAATCATATGTGGCTTGAAGTGACACAATCTATGAAGGTATTCAAATGAGATCGGTATAGTAGTGAAGAATTAGAGTATTATACACAACATTCGATCTAAAAAACTTTTATCTAAAAACCGTTCTCTACCAAATAAATAATTACTAACTTTATAATAGTTCACGGATGTTACAAATTGCAAGCTGTAATTATATAGCTGTCAGTTAGCAATCAATATTTTATATAACCGTTCTTAAGCCAATATATTTATCTTTGGTCCAGCTGCACATGAGTTATAAATAAATAAATAAATAAATAAATAAATAAATATATATATATATATATATATATATATATATATGAGGAGGGCTCAAA